CTATGCTATTAGCAGTAACTGATTATGAGTTTCTGGCAATTTTGAAAAATGCGCCTATATTTAAAAAAGTAACCATTGATTATAAGTATCTGACAGTTATAAAAGATGCAACTAAAAATGAAATTGATGAGTACTTAAAGATTTTAGAAGAAGTGCCTAAATCTGATGAACCTAATGAATCTAATAAAATCAAACAAATCAATATATTAAAGATTTTGAATAACGTGCTGCCTAAATCTGATGAATCTGGTGAATCTGCTGAATTACTTGATGAATCTGATGAAATCAAACAAATTAAAAATGTGATCGAACAAATTAATATATTTAGGCAGATATTTCTGTTCGCGATCATATATGGAGCGTTCTTTGACATTTTTCTTAGAAATATTCCACAGATCATTATTCAAGTGAGAACTAATTTTTTATATTTATGTGTAAAACTTTTTTAGTTTTTATTAATTAATTTGCTTTTCTATTTAAATACCTTAAGGTCTCTTACTATAACTCCATCGTGAAATATAGTTTAGTGCCATTTCTATTATTAGGCACTTCTTGCCTTAAGATTTTCATGATAATAATTAGATGTATATACAGAAAAGTAATGTTGCGTATTTTTAAGTGAGTATAAATTTATTTGCTTTGTTTTGTTTTTAAATCAACTTTTTTCACTAAATTAATTTTATCCTAATCAAATAATCATTAGTAGGTTAGCATAAAATTTTATACCATTCATTTATTAGAACCTAAATGCTGCATTCTAACTTTACCATAATCAATTATACACGCGCATTAAAGGGAGTAAGTATTAAAGTTCGGTTTATAAATTTAGTAATTAATAATTATTTCCTCTAATTGATTATATGAATATTAAAATTCTCAGCTTGTGAGTATAAACTTTCATTGCAAAAATCGGCATTTCATTAAAAGTTACTTTAGCGTTAATCAATTACGTATATTTAATAGGAAGTGAGTTGATTTAAATTTTTTTTTATAAAATCGTGTTAGTGGCAATTCGCCATTAAAAATAAGGCACTTCTAATCTTCTACATACTAGTGTTGCTGCTAATACATTTGGTTCGTTTAAATTTTGCAAGTTTAAAAACTTTACAAGTACGAATGAACTAATACAAGTCCAATTTATGTTATTTATTATAAAAGAGCTAGCATTCGCGGAAAATATGGAAAATGCAGACAATGTAAACGATACAATGATTGCCGAGTTTGGTGCTTAGATTGTGATCCTGAGAAAGAAACTCAAGGATGGGAAAGTAGTGATAACAACATTGATGAAGAAATAAAAAACTTTCAACTTGAAGCTAAGGAATACGATGAGGTTATTGAATGGATTCCTTACGATAATTTAACAAAACCTGAAAAAATTAAATGGTTTCCAATGGATGGAAATAATTTACAAGAAATTGAAGAGAAATTAGACTTTTTTATGGCAACTTGGGAGGATGGTATACGAACAATTCAATATGAATCTGGAAGATATACACGGTCACGCATTAAATCACATGTTGATCTCATAAAATTGCACAGTTCTCAAACGAATTTCATAAAGAAAGTAAGTAAATTGTTCACTATGTTATTAATTTACTGCACTGAAAATGTAAGATTATTAAATGACACATATATCTTGTAAGCTTAAGGAAATGATACAAAAAGAGGGCGAAAAAGAGAAATATAAAATATATGGAATAACTCAGGATGTTGAAACTATGCAATACATGATTGTTCTTGATTATTATTGCAACAAAAGAAATCCCAAATATGGAAAGTGTAAACATTGTGAACGGCATAATACCAATCCAGAATGGTGTCAATCGTGTGATCCTTCCAAGGTAAACCATGATGATAAATCATTAAGTGATAGCGATGAAATTAATAACTGCATCGAAGGTTTTCAACTTAAAGCCGTGGAATATGATAAGGTTATTGAGTGGATTGCTTACGATAATTTAACAGAAACTAAAGAGATTAAATGGATTCCAATGGATGGAAATAATTTACAAGAAATCGAGAAGGAAGAAATTAATGAGAAAGGAATTAAAGAGGAAGAAATTAAAGAGGAAGGAATTAATGGAATTGATGAGAAAGAAATTAAAGAAGAAATTAAAGAGAAGGAAATTGAGGAGGAATTAGATTTCTTTATGGCAATTTGGGAAGATGGTATACAAACAATTGAAAAAGAATCTGAAGGATATAAACGATCACGCATTACTAAGTCATGTGTTGATCTCATAAAATTGCATAATTCTTCGAATGACATAAAGAAAGTAAGTTAAATTTTTCATTATGTTATTAATTTACTATATAAATCATGTAAGGCTAATAAATGAATCATATGTCTTGTAAGCTACTTGATATACTTAATAAAATGATGCAAGATAAAGAGAAATATAAAATATATGGAATAACTTGTGGAAAAGTTCAAAATGCCGAAATCGAACAATATATGATTGTTCTTGATTATTACTACAACAAAAGACATCCCAGCTATGGAAAGTGTGAACAGTGCAAACGATCTAATACCAATCCAAAATGGTGTCAATCGTGCGATCCTTCCAAGGAGTCAAACAAATATCATCCATCAAGTGGCAACCCTGCGATTGATAAATGCATTACAAAATTTCAACTTAAAGCTACGGCATATGAAAAAGTGATTGAATGGATTCCGTATGAAAAATTATCTAATATTAAAAAAATTGGTGAAGGAGGATTTGGTAAAGTATATTTGGCAATTTGGTTAGAGGGTAAGCGAACGATCGAGAAAATTGATGAAGTCTATCGACGATCACGTAGAATACCTTATGTTGTTGCACTTAAAGCCTTACCTGGTCCTAAATCTGATGCGTCAAATTTTTTAGAAGAGGTAAGAATATTATCTATTTGATCGTGTGTATAAGCCAGAAAATTTTAATCATACATTTTTTGCAATTTAAATATTTTAAATATTTTAAAGTTTGAAACTCATATGGATTGTAGATGTAGATTAGAGAGTATTGAACTTGAAATGTATGGATTGACTCAAACTAAAGAAGATAAAGAAGATGAATATTTGATGGTATTCCAATATGCCAATAGAGGAAATCTTACTGAATTTTTAACTCAAAACTTTAGCGAACTTAAATGGCAAAAAAAGCTAGAGCAGCTTGAATATATATCAAATGATTTACGTCTAATTCACAAAGCAAAATATATACATAGTGATTTTCACAGTGGTAATATTTTACTGAACCAAAATATCGATGGAAATATAATTTCATACATAGCAGACCTAGGGTTATCTCGAAAAAAAGATGAGCGTGGTTCAAAAGATTCAACAGATGTTTATGGAGTCTTGCCTTATGTTGCTCCAGAAATTCTCAAAGGTCAGAAACACACATCACAGGAGACTGATATTTATGGTTTAGGCGTTATTATGACAGAAATATCAACTGGGAAAAGGCCATATGGTGAGCATAAATCTGTTACTAAGCTCGCATTAGACATTTGCAAGAATTTACGTCCAGAATTTGGTGAAGGAACTCCTGAATGCTACATTGAATTGGCTAAGCAATGCATGGATTCAAATCCACAAAACCGGCCTACCGCTGAAGACGTTTATTCAAAAATTAGTCATTGGAAAACAATTATCGAATCAAAAAATTTAACAAATATAGAGGATCTAAAAATAAAAGAGGAATTCACTGATGCTGATAATATAATCAAAAAAATAACACTAGAACCTTTACCAGAGCAAGATAAATATCGCAAGAATCTTAAAGGTACTAATTAAATTGAAGTTATTTGTATTTGCTTGTAGGGATGTTAACAGTATCAGTCTGGTCCAGTCTGGTCTATTTTGGTCCAGGTCTGGTCTGGTCTTTATTCTTAAGACATTGTTAGTCCAGACTAGTCCATACTGGTCCAGTCTTAAGACTTAGGACAGACCAATTTTTTTCGAGTTCAAACTGGTCTTAAGACTAACTGTGGTTCATTAGTCTAAGACCATACCACATAACATCCCTAATTGCTTGTACCATGCAATTAATACTTTGTCATTAATCATTAATTTATTTATTTATTATGTGTAGTATCTACTTCAATATTGTTTGCAAATTAATGATACTGATTTATTAAGTTAGTATAATTTGCAATATTTTTTGCTTCAAATATCTTTTTTACTAATATTTTTTTTTAAAATGAAGAATAGTGAATCACAAAGTGATTAGTGCATTAAGAATATTTCACATTAGCTTTCAATTTACCTCACCTTGAAATTGACAAATTTTTAAATTTAAAAGCTACATATTATTTACAATCAATGAAGATTACATAAAATTAAAACAAAAACGTCAATTTTTACTATAATGAATAAAAAAAAAGAAATAAAGTATGCGACGATAAAAGAATTGTAAAAGTCAATGTAAAAATCAATGTAAATATCAATGTAAATATCAAATATTATTATCGTTATTGACAGTCAATAAATTAAATTAGTAGTTTATTACATTGCTTAAGTCTCATGAATCATCTGGGTCATGATCTGCATAACAAATCGACCTGGGCCGTTTCACGATCGGTGAAAATCGTGAAATGACAGGCCAATCCCGGATCGACTTAAATCCCGTATCGACGCGGAACATTTATACACGGGTAATTTATTGAATTACATATTCACGTAACATACTAATCAAAATAATTTTTACAAACGAAAAATTAAACCCTCGCTTATGTTTAGGGTAAGGATGGATTTGGGATTGAGCAAGGCATAGTTTATACCAAAATTTTGCAAGGAATTTTTTTTTGTTAGAAGCCAAAAGATGATGCATAATCAAAATTTTGATACACTTTGTGTACAAATAGAAAATGCCTAAAATAGCAAAATTTTTTATACTTTAACGTATTAATTTAAGAAAATTTCTAAATACATACTGGCGCATGGCACACGGGTATTAATCCGTGTAACATAAATCAAAACAAATTTGTATAAAACGAAAAATTAAGAACTGTCTAAGGCTATGGTAAAGTTGGATTTGTGATGGAACGAGCGTTAGTTTTTACTAGAGTTTTTTTTATTAATACCCAAAAGGTGGTTTATAAGTGAAATTTTTAGTTATAACCAATAATTTTACGTTGCACCTAATTGTGTAATCTGATTGACAACAGGAGGAACCGTCGACATAACACGACTGATCCTTCGCCCGGTGTGCAACATATATAAAATTATTTTACAATACCAGATCATTCCGCTAGTACATGTTATGATTATAATCCCACACCATTTTTATTATAATAA